AACTTAGAAAAATGGTGAAAGGATTAAATGGTACCTGGAGAACGAAACCCTCGAGAGCAGAGAGTTTGTTGAGAGCTAAGGACATGTGTGACATGAAATTAGATAGATGGGGAGGAAGTTGTGCCGAGGCAGGCGAGAGAGAGTCCGAGACAATACTATCGGAAAGCGATTGATTTAACGCCTCGAGACCCTGCGAGAGAGCCTCTTCAGCCTCTTGTGTGGACTGTTGCAGCCCGCAAATCCCAACTATTTGTTGTTCCGTCAATGGTTCTATCTGGCTCACAATTACCTGCATGCATTAGTGAATCAATGCATAAAGAACTTTGAATGCATTAAATGTGTTGTGTACTATGCACGAGCTACTAGCTACACCCAAAATCTCTCCTTTCCTTTTTTGTTTTCACTAAAAAGGACATAAATTATATTATTGTGTACTATGGACGAGCTACTAGCTACAAGCCTACACCCAAGATTGAGACATTGCCAAAGGTCTTGTCAGATATGCACACCATCCATATTTCAATTTATATTATTAATCTCCATTAATCGTATATACACTTTATATATTTCGAATAAAAATAGACTTAAATTTTTTTTGCTAAAATAAAATAAAAATAGCTTAATTAAAGGATTTACGGAATTATTTTAGAAAAATCTAAATATGATAATCACACAACAATATACATTTTTTGAAACGTACATCCAACGATATATTGTGCATGCTAAAAATGTTTTTTTTTTTTTTGAAAACAGGCATGCTAAAAATGTAAAATAATTATATGATCACATATGGGAAAAACACATACTATTTTTCTTTGCTATCATTTTTTAAATTAAATTTTATTATGGTCGTCTCTGTTAACTTTCATGGTGGTTTCTGTTTCTCTCTCTCTACTATGGACCATAAATCGAAAAACCAGACGGACACTTTCTTTTACATTTTGCCAAAACCGAACCTTTTCTAGAAATACTTCACCATCACACAACTGCATGCATTCTTTATTTGTTTTTATATTAATTTTACGTGTACCTTTTTTATTTTCTTAATATAAAGACATACACGTTATATTGTTTGGTTTTATACATACCTAGTCCAAGCCATGCAATGTTATGTATATATATACCTCGTCCAACAGTATCACTATATACTCTATGTCTTGTCTGTCTGATCTATTATTACTATGCACCGTACCATTTTGTAAGAGAATCAAAGACCAAAGCTTTTGAAAATAATTCAAAGAAAATTAAATTGTATTAATTTTATAAAGTAAGAAGTACTATATTCTATGTTGACAAAAAAAAAGTACTATATTCTTATCGTACGATAAAATAATAAAATGTCGTAGTCATTTTTGTCATTATAATATTTTATTGCAAGTATTAATCCACGGAACTTGATACATAATGTATTCTGGAATGTAGATTAAGATAAGATTTAATATGTTAGTCTTCAGGTAAAAAACAAATTTGTATGATTATCTATTAATCCATATCGAATAGTTTACAATATCGTCATGAATTAATTTAGACGTACATTTTATTAAACGGTAGCTAATTTCATTATCATAATATGTGTGGGTGTGGCACGAGTAGAATAAGTAAAAAAAATTATTAAAAAAGCATACTCACATACATAAGTATATATTTATAAGATATAACAAAAAAAAATATGTACCTTAATGATTTCGGATGGTCGAAAACCACCCATCCACAAGAAGCATCGCTCGGCTGGAGTTTTCCATGCTCCAGAGATAAGGTGGAAAACATCAGTTTTAGCAACTATGGCCTTGAGGTTAATCAAATGGTCATAGTGAGCTAAACAAGTGTCCACAAACATCCTTAGCTCGTTCTCGGCCAAGTGCTCTTGCGTTGCCACCCTCAGTTCGTTTAAAAGCCTTTGCTGCTCCTCCATCCACCTCGCGTATTCCATATCGAAAACCGCTGCTTCTGCTTCACATTGTATTTACTCAATTATTCTCATTTTTTTCAGTTTTTTTGGTCATCACATGAAAATGTTACGTACGTACCGGAGCTGATGTTGCCAGGGCCAATGTTCATTCCACCTTGTTGTTGATCTCCTCCTATAAGAGACCCTCCAAAGAATACGCCCTAACCATCATAAAATATTTTGGTAAATTTTAGGCTTTTAGGTGAAATAAAACGAAAAGAAAGGTATACAAATGTTTACTTGGGATCTGGCCCGTTGAATCTCTTGTTCTAATTGGGTCAGCTTGATCCTACATGACTCAAGTTGCTGAACATAAGCCTGTCGTAGTTTTACCAAAATATAAATAACGTTATATTATATATAAATTAATTTTAATTGGAATTTGCAAAGTACATGAAGTGTATATGTAAGCTGACTTTTTTTCGTAATCTGCTTTTTCTTGCGGCTTCTCTGTTCTGTGCTAGTCTTCTCAATGTCTGTTGAAAAATTAAATTAATAAACATAACGAGAAGAAACTATCAAACACACAATTAAATTAGTAAACTTTTATTTTAGTCTTATTTGATTGTCACCTTAGGGTCTGATGTTTTTGGTATGTCATGGTCCGATGAGGCAGGACCCTTGCGGTTCACTTCTTTCTGCCATAACATTTCAAAATGACCCATTAACTTATAAAACGACTAAGTCTATATATAAGATTATATTCCATTTATATACTAACAAGTAACAAGGCAAGTAAATTATTTATTGAAAAGATAATATAGATAGAGACCTTGATGGATTTAGAAAGTTGAGGAAGTTGAAACTGAGAATGATTGGTCAAGTCCATGGACGGCTCAGAAGATGGTCGAGTTGAACCACTAGGTGCAGCAGCCGGAACCAATCTTGTATTATCAGTCTTACCAAACACATTATAACAAACAAATCAAAATCAGTACTCATTAGAAAAATGAGAAACGTATAATAATTGATCTGACTTGATATTATATGAAAAAAATAGCTAGTAGTTGCGCTGACATTATATTAAATTAGAAACAGAAACCAACTAAAATTGGCATTAATACATAAGAAAAATATATTATTTACATTTGGTGTAGAAGAAGAAGAAGGTGGCTCTATGTGCATCGGTTGAGATGGGAAGATGTTAAGCGTTGATGTTGGAGGTCTCATCGCCAAATTCTCTGCCATATCATAAAGATGAGTCATATTATGTGTGGAAATGGTCTGGTCTAGTTATAACAAGTTATGTATGTGAAGTGGACTAGTTCTAATAAGAAAACAAGAGAGAGAAAAAAGGGTTTAAAGATTTGGATTGAAAGATTTGATGTCTGAAAAAAAAGAGAGGATCTGGTCAAAGCTGAAAGTAGAGTACTGATGGCAGAAGAAAGATTGAAATCTGTTGGACATGCTTTTGCTGTGACTCTCTCTCTCTTAAAGGGAATCTTCCTTATTTGCTAAAACCAAAACCAAACCCCAATTCCCAAAAAAGA